AAAAAAGGATGGGGAAAAATGGAAGAAGAGGTAAATAAAAATTCTTGTGAAATGGGCCCCTCCCGGCGCATTTCCGTGAGACACTGCCTTTTCGTGATCCAACACCCCCCTATCTCCCCTGGGTTAACCCCTGAGCCGTGAGACCCAAGGGAAATCCCTTTCGGGGACAAGGATAGGGACACAATCAGATAAAATTTATTATTATTATAAAAATATTAAAGTTGCGTGCAAAAGCTTGGACCAAGTCGTCTGCAAATCAAAAACACACGTAAGCCCAGCCTCCACGGATAGCGAGGTCCGTCGTACGTGTTGCGAACTGCTGTGTCAAAAAGGACTGTAGGGCCTTTGATAGGGATTCCGAACTGTGACTAAGTTCGGCCGTAGACGCTGAACACTGGAACATGAACAAATATAAATATCGTAATAAAAGATGAAAGTGAGAAATAATCGTAGATGAAGTAACTGAAGTCGCGCAGCGAGAGAGAGATAGAGAAACACTTATCGCGTAGGTAAGGCCGCACTGACTAGATGGATGAGTCTAGGAACAATGAAAGCCCCGAAGCCGATACGTCCCCTGCGTCACAGGCAGCCTGTGACCAAACCTGTACACTTACGTGTACTAACCCCCGAGCGCTGCCTTCGGAAACAGTCGTCAATGTTCGGATTTCGGTTGTGTTTACAGTTGACTCTGGAATATTATTTACTAAACATTTGACTCATTCGTATATTACAAATATATTATTTAGTACCTAGTATACTATGTGCTATATTATAGCGAAGGCATTATATGAAATTTTGAAAATACAATTAAAATGTTGGGCTAGTACTGGATCATATAATAAGCAGATATGTAGTGTCTTATGTACTTGGCATTATTAATATGATTTCAATATTTTTTGCGAGAGAAATGCACAGCACTCCTGTACTTGGCATAGTCTTTTTACACCTACTAGAACGACGCGATTGGAGGTCCGTTTGCGCTGTAGCGCTTTGAATAATTTAAATACCATTCAGCCGAATAGAAAAGCGGTAAAAATGTACCACAAAATTGCACTTATTGATGTCGGTTAAAAATATGTCAACAATAGGCTTTTTCAACAGTTGTTGAGAAGTTCTATAGTTCCCGGGCTCGTTCTGAGGGTTGCTTTGGGAAACAGCGGTGAGTAGCGGAGAACCTCTGCCCGCCAAGCTACGCGTCCGTGTTCACGTTTAGCTCGGCTACGACGGGATTCTCATTGTCGACGGAGGCCATGATCACTTAATGCTACTTCTAGACTCGCCGCTACGATTTAGCGCCGTGATTTTGATATAGCCTAAAACTGTAACGTTGTGCATCTCCCTACTTATCTCTGTTGGAAGTGACCAAAATATAATTAGTAGTATGAGCTGCCGCCATTCATAGCGCAACTATGCCAACCATGACGAATGATGATTGGCTGGTCAACCCGCGTGAAGAAGCAGGAAGAATTGCCTTTTATTTTTTCGACAAATTAATTAATTAGTAAGTCTTAATAAAAGAGGAGCAGAAGTAGTGACTTTGAAAAGCACGATGAAAAAAATGAATAATTGAAAAAGTTTATAGATTTAAGGAATATCAAATTTGTAAAGGAAACGAAGAGGGTAGAAAAGAATGTTGTAAAATGGACCCCTTTGCGCAACGATTGGCGACAATTAGCAGTAGTATTTATGGCATCAAGAAAACAAGAGATCCATCCCGACGTCTAACACTAATATTTCTTTATGATTGCTCTTTATGATTTTCGTCACTTTGCATTAGATGATAAAATCTTAAACGAATGCTGAATGACGTTTATAGTCAAAAATCGACCTATCCTTTACATACTCACAGTCATAATTAAAATTTTGATTTAAATTGAAGCGGAATGTTTCCTCTCTTTATTTAACACGTTTTGAATTCGGATAATGGCGGGAATTTATTGTCTACCAATGACCACACCTAAACACCATGGAGGCGCTACAGTAAATACGTTGTTGCCAAACTTTATGCTCATTTGTGATGCGAAATTACGATCAAGACAGTTTTTAAAAGGAAACATGATGTTTCGGAGGTCCAAGAAATATTTAAATGTATACTACGATGGTGGGAAAACAGTTATTTATGCGGTTTTCGTAATCCGAGTTTAGTGCGTTGTGGAATATGCGACGAGTAGCTACTGTGTTACGCAGTTCCGCATGATGCCATCAAGAAAATTAATGCTTAACTCGACTGGAAGTTGTTTCCTACGTTTATGAACTTCTAAACAGCGTTTAGATATTGCATATGTACTTTTTTCCAGATCTAGGCCTCGAATTTAACGAGAGGAAGATGTAATTCGCATTTTTACTTGGTAGCGTGTACATGTGGCAACAGAGCAATCCTTTTCCTGTTGGGTGCTCCGCCACTTCCTAGTCAAAAGAATTTCTTCGGGTACAAACAAAAATATATTTATACCCGTTTAAAGTTAAAAATCAGTGCCTATGTGGGAGTACGGATCAAATGGTTTCCCAGCGGCGACGTTCATCCGGTCCGATGTGTTTTAAAGAAAGTTCCCCGAGTGTAAATATTTCTTAACGCGGTAGCAAGCGTCACATTATACACAACTTGTGGGCCTGTGTTAAAATTGACTTGCCTGACTACACTTTTTTGATCGTATTTCACGCACTTGTAAATATTGTTTTTTGTGGAATTATATGGACTGCTATTGTGAATATTTACTAGGGCGACTGATTTTTCACTTAGAAATTGCAGTTGTGGCACCAAAAGTGTTCAAACGAATTTACGTATAAAAAGACTGGCTGGCCTACTACTTTAAAGTTAAGGTATGTTTCATTTGTACATGTTTCTGGAAAGCATTCAGAAGCACTAGGTTCCTGTAAATGGTTAATTGAAAGTAGTTCCTTTTATATTATAGGTTCTTAAGCTGGCTACTGTTACGCACGGAAGGCATACTAACAGCTACTGTGTACTAGGCTGATGCAGGCTCCCTCTCACTTGGTATTCATGTGGTATTTATGCTATCGAAATATCCTGTTCCTTAGGAAGATAACTTGACAATAGAGATCCAAGAAACACGCAAGAGAAAGGAGGAAGTAAACTATTGCTAATGGTACGTCGACGATATCGTGGTCATCCTCCTAGTAATAAAATGGAGGAGCCAGCGAAGAAGAAACAACGTGTTGAAAACGGGGACGATGAAGATGATGGAATCACAGAAATGGAACGATTTCAAAACAGTCTGCTAGCACGGTGTTTATGTAACATTCCAGAGAGCAGTCTACGCAAGCCATTTACTGCAATGACTGTTCAAGCAGCAAGTGGTGGGTTTCGCACGGCAACGATATCCGAATGGGAGCCGGACAAAACTTTAGAATTTATAAGTGCTTTACAACTCCTCTTTGATCTTGCTATTAAGCAGAACACAAGAGGAATCATGTGTAGCAGGGTCGCAGATGTATGCGAAGCCCTGTCTCGTAACGAACACGGGATCATAGATCAAATAATCGACCTATCCTGCACAGCCAACAAGTTCATATCATTCACAGCGAGTAGAGCTCTGGCAGCATTCTTCATTGTAACGAAGGAAAACATTGAAGCAGCTTGGTTAGAGAGATTAACACAATCCTTAGTGAATACTCACTCCCCAAGTCAAATGCTCTTCACTCTTGATGTAGTAAAGAGGGTCGTCGAGCATAAGGACTGCAGTATCCATCCTCTTGAGGAATCAGATAGTTCTGGCCCGCCACCAAATTGCAATACAGTAACAATTTCTGATCCTGAAAGCTTGGACAGTACTCCTGTAAAAGCAATGTGTGTGAAAGCACTGGAGTCCAAGTGGACACTCCTGGTATCGAAGTTCGATGCTATCCTAGGGTCGTACACGCCTCAACACGAATCTGCCGTCATCACATTCTTAGAACTGTGGGAGTCTATTATCTCAGTAAAGGCCAACTTATCTGTCATCGATACCAAGCTTTTCTATTCGCAACTGGACAATCTCGTAATGCTCCTAAATGCGAATGTTCCTGGAGTTATTTGGAGACATCTACTGGGTCTCTTCAATGAAGTGTTATGCTACGGTAGTACCCTAGCCTTGCAAGACGTCCTTCCGGACGAACCATGTTCGCTAGCGCACTTGATTGTGCGTGCAGTCAAGGACTGGAGATTACTGGATGCACTTCCATACCGTCATGGCTCAGGAAGGTTTGGCGGAGGTACTGGCGACGGTGATCGTCCACTCTTACAAAAAGTTATTCTACTGGTTCTCAAGAGTGTCGCGGTAACGGTCAAGGAGACACGGAGCGACTCGAGCGACTCATCTCTAGATTCCGAAGCCGAGGATCTCGACGCAGATATGGCAGTCATTGAGCGCAGCATCAGAGAAGTCTTAAGACAACTGGACCAGTGCGTCAAGGCATTAATGCCTTTCCATCCTGAGACCTTACTCGCGCAGTGGGTCGTACAAATGTTTCTTGATCAGGATGACTTCCTCATTGAAGGCATGGTTTGTTGTCTGGATGTTGCTGTTGGTCTCTTCTGCAGAGGACCACCTCAGAATGATTTGGGACACATGCTCAGTCCTACACTGACCTTCATACAATTTCTAACAGGTGTCTCCCATGATCATGACGTACTATTAGATTATTTGGTCAGCAATGAAACCTGCTTTCTTCTCTACTTATTCAGGTTTCTTAAATATGTCAGGCGAAATTGGACAGAATTTGTGTCGTGTTGCGGTAGGGAATTAGATGATACCATGACAGTACTGATAAGACTCCGGCTAGCAATAGATAGACTTGTCTCTAAAGCTTTGTTCCCTTACAATATCATTCCTGTTCTTCGTCTACTGGAAAAGTGCGAATCCCTTTATGAGGGTAACGTAGAGAACTGAGACAAATACCCTAACTTCAATAATCACAAAATATAATTTATCTAACATTGAGATTTACCAAGGATGCCTTAACAATGATACTTCGGAATCGAATTCAATAATTAAAAAAACTTTAATCAAAACCTAAGCAATTCGACATTCACTTACGGTAAGATTTTCACTATGTTCCACAAATTGTATTCCTTCTATATGCATCCTTGTGAAAATTGTTTTTATAAAGGTAATACGTATCTTTTTTCTTTGGGATTCTTTTATCCCCATACTTCTCGACTAGGATATGATGGAACAAAAATCCAAAATTGCAGAAACAATTTTACAAAATTTCGATCATATACGATTTTTAAAAATGCTTCGATCCGGTTGTCTAAAGTTCCATCAATCATAAATTATAAGAGTGACTTGTATCTATTTCGATTATTTATTATCTTAGCCATCGTTTACTTGGGCCAATGGCCGTAATTAAATCCTTATTTACCTACGTCGCATACTCAGCTCTGATCATGTAAGGACTATGTACATTAAGTAGTACAAAAAATAGTTGCAGACAGCGGACGATGAGAAATAAAAATTAAAAGAAAAAAACCATAGTGCTAACTCGTTACGGTGCTACGGGAAATGTGTTTCTGCCAAAGCACCGTTTTGGTTAAATTTACTTGAGAATGTACTGCTAGAATTAATATTTAATTGTTCATCGCGATACTGTATATATGACTTATTATTTGATTCTAGTATAATTACAATCGGACGTAAAATGAAAACGATGCACTAAGATTCGTCTACTTGTCTACTATAATAAAACATACAATTTTCGTATATACCGTCTTATCTATATTGATAACGATACGCCAAGAAAAACAATATTTATACCGTAGGCCTAGATAGGATTTATAACTCGTAGTCCAATATTTCTCATGGTGCGACGAAAAAAAAAATATATCTTCCATCGGGCAAGAAATAATAAAGTCCGAAGTAGATTATTCGTAAACCATTAAATTGCACTTAGTACACTGTACTTAAAAATACCATTGACTCGCCATCATTACAACATTTACTCTTGCGCGAAGCACGTGTCGAATTTATACTGTCAAACTTTGCACGTGCTTCGTTAGAGGGGTAGCTATCATTTGACTAATCGTCATTACGATGGAGATTGTTGAATTTAGGCGAGGAAAATAGATATTGTTTATCTAAATTATTATAGTCATTGATACAAATAGGTCAGCGTTATACCTAATAATATTTATGGCTAATTTTGGTATTTATCAAAATTTGATATATATGAAAAATTGATGCATAGCGTTCCAAGATGTATTACTTGAGCGTTAGCTTTGATTTAATTTATCAATTAATCTGTCAAATGATGGCTACACTTTATTTATATAATTGAGATGACGGATAATTACCATATTCACCATTGTGGTATATAAATAATTGTACCTTCATAACGACCCGTCCAGACGTTGTTTCTACATCTGCACACATAAAATTCTCCTAATCTGACTAGTTTATACTCTGTAAATATTTATTGTAATTGTTATCATTATAATTCTCGAATAAGACTACTCGTGTAATTATGCATCTTGTAATGCAACGATTTAAAAATATTTTTACCTTTTTTGTAACTGTGTCATGTCACTTTTTTCAAGCCCTAAACATAATTATATTTTATCTGTAACTTGTCATACGAGGCTGCGAAAAGAACATTATTGAATATTAGATTTTATGTTAATCATTTGCAATTCAAAGTAAAGTCCTTTTACTAAAAATACTCGTAGAACAAATTATGCAAAATTGTCGAATAATTTTCCAGGAATCACTAGGTATTCAAATTAAGTAGGATGCATTCCCCCAGTAGGTCAGATAACAGGAGAGGGGAGTGTCTGATATATAAAATGGGTCACCAGGTGGGAGCTCTCATTCTTCCAAGAGTCAATATCGAACTTATGAACGTCTGTGTTTTTCTTTCAGTTATTTTTCTTTTTTCAACTGGGCTGTAAGTTGTCAGTCGTAGTCTCTGTGATATCATTTGGTATGATCGATTTATGCAACGTTGATGTACACTTGATGAATAAAGAATATATTCTTACATAATTGTTGAAAAAATATAATGAAAAATATAGTTACAAAAGAATATAATGATCAGTTCATGAAGATAAGAGAATTACAGTTTTTATTACGTATGCTGAACATATAAACGATTATGTATATTTAATAGAAAGTTAAATACGTCATACTTAACATTAAAATAGAAATCATACTACGACCTAACTGGGATTTTGATGTGTTTAAAAAATCATTTTTAAGAAATTAATTATTGTAGCATACGTATACGTCGACCAATCGACTAATTTACGATAAATATTTACAATAGAAAATTCTTCGTTTCCATAAAACTTAAGTTACGATACGTAGTAACTTCGTAAAACTATTTTTACAAGCAAATTTGGATAACTCCTGTTTGCTCAACACAAAAAAATGCAAACTGTTCACCTCTCTTTTATGAGCCTGCACAACTACTGATAGTTTTTCAGTAGTATTATAAGTAATCCATTGATTATTACGATGTTACTTAATTTTTATGTATAAGACTCGGGTCTACCTCAAACATTAGACCAAAGGGAACATTGTGGAAAGAAAAACTACGTATCATAATCCTCATCAATATTGGCAGTATGAGTAAAATTAGATGTAGGTAGGTCATTGGTACTCATATTAGAAGGATGACTGCTCAGATTAATGGGATTCACTTCGGTATAAAAATTAGGTTGACTAATTTGAAATGAGGTAGGTACCGATATTTGAAACTCTGGAGCACTTGGTGTGGATGCAACCTTAGCTGTTTCACTCAATACCACTGTGCTAGTGCTTCCTATTCCTTTAATATCTTTTGAATTTCTGCGACTTATACTTATTTCACATGATTGTACTTCCTTTGGAATACTAAAACGACATAAATAATATATTCATTAATTATTTGGTATATAAAGAGTAATGTCTTAATACAATTCATAAATAAATTTTACCTAGCTTCGGAATGACGTACTGCAGGTGGGCATACAACTGTCAGTGGATTAACAGACATAGGAGCGGGTGTCATGGGTGGTGTAGGTACTTCTTCATCTGCTCCTGATATGTCTGGTAGGCCTTTTACTAAATCTTTTAAAAAATCAAACCGACTTTCTGAAAGAATACACTGCTTCCTATAAATAAGTAAATAAGTAAATAATATAAATAAAAACAAGTATTTCAGCGATGACATAAAGTTGACATATTAGAAAAAAAATATAAAATACTCACATATGAGAAGGACTTAGTGTCTTAGCATTCTTGGCACTCGTGATTTGCATAGTTTTTGTCAATAAGGAGTGCACAAATAACTCTAGAGTTCTAGGTATAGAAATAGTTAAGGAGTTGAAAGACGTAAACAGAAATTTAAAAGTTCAAAAACTAATAGAAAATGCTTACACGGCACACTATTATAATAATTATATCTAATCAATTATTCTAAAAGGATATAGATTATAACTGGCACAGCTTGAGCAACTTTTCCAACATCCTCATCACTTTGCATAATCTTCTTAATGCGTGACTGAAATTCATTAGCAGCAGTTAAAAAATGACATACACCTACATATAATGTAATAGATTTTAATTTCCTTCTCCCAATATTAACGAAAAATACTTTAACTACACTTCAATGCAAATGAATCAATTTGCAGTGGCTTGACATTCTATCTTGGTTACATCTTGTACAATGAAACATCATAATTTATAGATTGCTCTAGTACTTACCACTGGAAAACGAGTATTATATTTTTTCTTCTTACTTGGCATTATACCACAAATCTTCAGAGGGTCGCCACAGCACGTGCTTAAAAAATCCAGTTACAAACAAATGTATACGGATTAACCAAACTTAGTTCTAACAAACTTCTCTTATGTTGACTCGATTTTAGGCACTGATTGGGAGCCACCAAGAAAAAACTAATAAAGAGGACCAACCACATGGGATTTTATGTCTGGCGGCTATTACGCATTTCTTAGCATTTCTAAGCACACCGTGCACCAGATAACAACGACGGACAGAATAACCGACATCTTTTATAATTTACCCTATATAACAATCATTGTTCCTGCTGATCTATGCCTGGAAAGTGCATTGATAGAAATTATTTTAAAGTTTGTTACGCCCTATCCCATAATTATTATTTGAATAACTCTTTATAGATAAAATGTCGAATTTAGGAGAGAGAATAGTAGTTTTGATAGATATGGATTGTTTTTTCTGCCAAGTCGAGGAAAGATTACAGCCAGATCTTAAAGGAAAACCTGTGGCTGTTGTACAGTACAATCAATGGCAGTTAGGCGGGTAAAGTTCTTGTTTCTTATCTTATATTTTATTATAGAAATATAGAGATTAAATATGAACTATCTTTTATTGTAATAAGATGTTTGATATTAGTGATATATACTGTTAATACTCATTAGAAGCTACTACTATTCAATTTTGATATATAGTTTTTGGTATAAATATTTTTTTTTTTTCAGAATTATCGCCGTTAATTATGAAGCAAGAGCTTTTGGAGTCAGTAGACATATGCGAGGTGATGAAGCGAAGGAAAAATGTCCAAACCTTGTGTTGGTCAGTGTACCAGAACTTCGTGGAAAATCAGATACATCAAGGTAAGTAAATAATTATAAAATATTAATAGGGCTTTGTAATTCATAGAGGCATGAATGTATAATTTCAGGTACAGAAATGCTGGTCGTGAAGTTATTGAAGTCATGAGAAAACATTGTAACATTGTTGAACGTGCAAGTGTTGATGAGGCATATTTAGACATTACGGAAATAGTTGATCAAAAAATGTCATTATCACCTGAGTGTATTAAAAGTATGATAAAGAGTCTTTCTAATACTTTCATTGTTGACTTTTCAGAAATAGGGAATAATGATGAAGGCAGGTATAGCTACAATTTTATATTAATAAAAATGTGGGTTAATATTAGATTAAGTTAAAAAATAATGTTTAAAATAATTTTTAGAACAAAGAAAAGATGGCTTAGATAGATGGATTTCCTCAATATTTGATGAACTGGAAGATGATCAAGCTCAAAGACTCGCTGTTGCTGGTACAATAGTTGAGAAGTTAAGGGCTGAAATATTAGAAATAACAGGGTTTAAATGCTCAGCAGGCATTTCATATAATAAGGTTTGTAATATCTTATAAATCTAATATAAATGCCCATATTTGCAAATCCTATGAACAAATATGTTAGATTCTAGCTAAATTAGCTTGTGGATTACATAAACCAAATCGCCAAACTATTCTACCATCTGCAGCTGTCCCATCACTTTATTCCACACTACCAGTTAAAAAAGTTCGAAATCTTGGAGGAAAGTTTGGTGATGTCGTAGTGGAATCTCTTGGGTGTAACGTTATGGCAGATCTATTGCGTTACACATTACAAGATCTTCAAAAACGTTTTGATGACAAAACAGGGTACAAAAAATGTTTACTTTCTCTCAATTAAAAACGATTATCAGTATTTTCTTCATGATTCTCCATATTTTATGGTCATTAGATTATGGCTCTATAATATTGCTCGTGGAATGGATAAAGAGCCAGTTGTAGCAAGATTGGTCTGCAAGTCTATCGGTGCCTGTAAAAAATTTCCAGGAAAACAAGCAATCACTACAATGGATGTGGTAAGAGTCGGCAGATACTAAATTTAAAATTTTGATATTAAAAAATTGTTCTTATCGTTGTAGCTACAACACTGGATAGGAGAACTTGCGGCGGATGTTTGCGACCGTCTAGAACAAGATTTTGAAGAAAACCAGCGTCGTGCAACTCTACTGACTGTGAGTTACCATTACTACCAAAATAAAACCACAGTGTCACAATCTCGTTCATGTCCTTTGATCTCATATAAACCGGATAAAATAACGAGTCAGACCATCGAAATTGTAACCAAGTCAACACAACAGCCAATAGCTTTTTTAGGTATTTCAGTGGGAAAGTTTAAACAGAGTAAAGGTAGCAATAATTTTATTAATTATTTTAAACCGAATAATCTAATAGTTAGTAGAACAACTGATACGTCAGACTCATCTGTTGATAAAAATGACACGCAATGCAATGATGCTTTGCCAGTAACACAAAATGACATAAATGATACAACGCAACATGATAAGTCGTCCAAGTCTTTTTTTATGAATGCTTTTAGTAACGTGAACAAAATTAGTAATAAGTCAGTTAAAAATTCTAATGAACATTTTAATGATCATGAGGAAGACACGGTGCATGTCGTATCCGACAGCCATGACAGATTAGGAACCTCAGAGACAATAGAAAATAAAACAGACGACAAGTATGATTTAGAAGATAGCAAACGAAAGTCAATTGAAAAATTATCTAGTACCACGAATACTGATAATATAAATCACGAAGAAGATGATCATGGTAGCATTATGGGAAGTTCTGACAATAACTCTTTATCGAATCACCAAAGCTCTGTGCACAGTGTATCTATATTAGAATCAAACGCTCTATGCAGTAGAAATCATGATAATTTTAGAGAAAATAATGAAACCTTAGTAGAGCTAAGAGAAATATTTCCTGACTTGAATGATATTGATCCACAAATTGTATCTTTGTTACCAGAGAAACTGCAAAGGGAAGCAAATTTAATATTAAAAGCTCGAAAAAAGAATCCTGTAAGTAACGCTAGTACAGGGAAAACGGGGAAAGTGAAACCTAACAAATCTAATAAGTCCAATGGTTCTAAATCTGTAAAAAATAATAATTCAATAAGTGCTTTTTTAAAAAAGTGTAATCCCAGTATTGACTCTACGAACTCTTTAAAAAAATGTTTACAATGCGATCAATTAATAAAGGTTGAAAGACATGATGAACATATGGATTTTCACATAGCACAAGATTTACAACAAGCAATGAATGAATCCTTGAAATGTAATTCAATATCTATAAAGAGAAAGGAAACTATTGATGAAGTAGATGATCGTGCTAGTAAGAAAAGAGCGTCAGATCTTGAAATGTCAATACAAAGTAAAGAAAAATGTAACAAAATATCCTCATTCTTTGCTCAGTTGTGACGACAGATATTAGATAGTTTAATTTAAAAAATTAATTTAATTAATAAAATGGACGGGAAAGGATAAGTGCGATTCGGTATAAATTAACAAAATATATGATTATATCACTTTAATCTTTATTTAGTAGTACGAATATTTGAAAAATCCAAAGATATTTAAATAAATATAAATAAGTTATACTTACAATAATATTGTGTTATTAATTTCCAAGAAAATTCATTAAATATCTCTTCAATATATATAAACAATTGGCTTTAATGGTTAGTGGTAATATTACAATACTAATGAGGATTTTCAAAGTAATTTTTTTGTTGCTTTCTGATTGAATCAGAGACTTCAAAATTGATTATGCAATCTTTTCAATTTCTACATTAATATTTTATAATGGTTTTTAAAATTAACATTAATTATAAGTCGCACGTATTGACAGAGGCACTATAGAGTGCAGCTCAACCGTATTAGCAGCAAAGAAAATAATCAGCCTTCTGTTACTTTTATATCAGTAAAAGTCGTGATATCAAATTAAGCATGTACAACTAAGCAATTTTTAATCAGTCATTATAATTTTTAATAATGTTGTCTGCCACTTCCTCGGCCACGATTATAACCACGTTGATAACTATTAGAGCCATAGTTTTCACCTTGATTCCAACCTCCTTGAACTCTTCCGCCTCGACCTCTGCCACCTCCACCACCACCGCTTCCTCTTTGATACCCGCTACCGCCTTTATTATCACCATAATATCCTTCACGGTTACCATAATCAGCATTATATTGCTGTTGTTCAAGATGTAGGTATTGTTGCTGAGGTGGAGCATCTTGGTTTTGTCCAAAATTTTTAGATGCATCTTTGCGATCTCTATATCCTGTATTTCCTCTAGCGCCTCTACCACCACCTCGACCTCCTCTAAAAGAAGGTGGTCCAGCCACACGATCTTTCTGCCAGGATGGCATCTCGGGTGGTGGTGGTTCCTGGTCACATGGTCTTCCTCCTCGATCCGGAACATCTCCAATTATGACTTTGTTCACTTGACTGCGTGTATTTTTGCGAACTACCGCATTACTTGTTTTTTCAATTACTGCCAAATCATCTCGGGCTGCTAGTAAGTCTGCAATTGTTACATTTGGTTTCGCAGACATTTTATCCCTTTTACTTTGATAACAAGCATTTAGCTGATCTCCCTTTGGTCTTATTCTGTCAGACCACTGAAATGGGTAAGAGATGCATCAACAAAGTTGTGTATTGGTGGCATTGTTAATTTCATGAAATGATTATGTTATTACAATAGAAATAGTACACTTTACCAGAAATGATTGAACGGTAACGTCCAGCCTTTTAAGTAACATTTCTCGTCGTATTCTGTATTCCTCATTTAAATCTTGTTGCAATTTATCCAATTTTTCCCACTGAGCATTTGACAATTCTCCAAAAAATAATGGTTTACCTAACAGATCAGCAGGAGCTTTTTCAACAATTTCTTTTAACTTAGCATCTACTTTGTTAAAGAGTAACTGTGAAGTTATATTGTCTGGTGGCTTTTGAAATTTTAAAGCTAACAACATTTCTTTTAATGATTTAGCAGTATTACTTTCCCTCTGTAAGTAAATATAATATATTACTTATACAATCAATATATAATTAGTTGCTCTTACTAGATAAAATTACAATGAATACTCACAATCGTAACTTCTAACTGTGAATTGCTTGTAGGTTTTTTACACTCGAGTATCTTGCTGGTCATAAGCTCTAAGATTAAATACTCTAATAATATCATTCTCTCTTGTTTCGTTGCTAATCGTTGATTGATATTACCAGTCATTAATTGACGATTGACACACCCAAGTTCTTTCAGAAAAGAGCTTAATTCTAATAAGAAGGAACTAGCATCGTCTGCCGAAGAAGTAGGATGAATGGACTCATCCAAGTCATTGAATGTTATCAATTGTTCTGCAAGCCATGCTACAAGAGTCGTAAATTCTACAGATTTTGCACCACCATTTAAAGCATCTGATAATTTTTCAGGATCAAGTAATGGCCCTGTATATCTGTACAAAATTTAAAAATGTATGAATATTATACTAACTCCAAAAATTGTATTGTAATATGTGATGTTAAATTAACATAAAATGAACATAAAAATTATATCCAAAATACATAAGTTATACCCAATTGATAAAATTATTTAACTGTAACGTCCTACAGTATAATATAAAAACTGCACAAAGTTTCGACGTAAATCTTTCAATTTTTCTTCAATTATTAACCTACAAACGTACCCGATGTCTTCAAAGCTCTGCAGTAGATCGGTTTCCATATTTTTCAAGGCAGCAAAGATTTCCAAACAACTAGTTTATTGTTACCCTAATGATAATTTAACGTTGATTAACGTATTTTTCACGTAAATCCAGTAATATGCGATGCCGAAAAATAATTCATGCAACGTTAACACACACTTTATGACTTACTCTACTACTTATGGTAAGTCTGGAGTACTTTCTCTCTTTGCAATTTCAGGTCGGAGCCCAACACTTCCGTTAAGAATGTTGCGCAGAACTTTTATTCTCTATAACTGCGCAATTGCCACTGACTGTCACTGACGTAATAGTAACAATCATGTCGATCTCAGCTCCTGTCAATCGTCGAAGCAAGTGAGAAAGTTTACTATAAATTGATTTTATTGTGAAGCTTTCAGAAACGTAATTGAATCATATTGTAAAATTTACTGAGCGCAGAATTTTTACATGAGCTGTACATACTTGTTATACTTTTTTAAGGTTAGGTGTACTGTCAACTGACATGATCTTTGACACATATTAAAATCACTGGCTGACTTTGTAACAGTATTATTAAATTTGTATGCTTTACATATTATACAAATTAAAGGCAAAATTTATCTTAACTTTCATTGAGGATGCATTGATGTTCTCTTTAATTAGTCTCAAGATAGCAGCAGGAGCTGTAGTATGCGAAGAGAGCATACTTAAGGGAGACATCACTATAGGTGCAAGGACTGTGATACATCCTAAAGCAAGTATCGTTGCAGAAGCTGGACCTATTATAATTGGAGAAGGGAATATCATTGAAGAAATGGCAACAATTGTCAATAGGTAAAACATCGAGTGAGATTTTACAATTTCTTTATTCTACATACATTTAAAAAATATTACAGATTACCACCTAACATTGTTGACTCTGCTACTCCAGCACTTCAAATAATAGGTAACTACAATGTATTTGAAGCAGACTGTACTTGTGAAGCTTCTAAAGTGGGGGACAATAATATTTTGGAAAATAAAGGTACCTATATTACTCACATTCAGTTCTATAAAAAATTTACTAAATGAAACTTTTTTTATTTACAGCATTTGTTACCCGTGATGTAGAATTAACTAATGGTTGTGTAATTGGAGCAGCATGCTCTCTAATAGAACCAGAAATCGTACCTGAAAACACTATTGTTTTTGGAAGCCAATGTCATCGCCGAGAAATGAATGACAAGCCATATGTGAGTTTCTCATCATTCTAAAATAATAATTTATAATAAATTGATTTGATATTTCTGTGTGTTCTTCAGCCACAAATAGGTCAGCTGGAATATCTCATGCGAGTACTGCCAAGTTACCATCACCTACGCAAAGCTAATATAAAAGTAAAGAGTGACCCAGCAACATAAAATGTTTCAAATATATATAACGTAATTCACCCAATTGTATTTAACATTTTGTTACTATAAGCTTATTAGCACTTTGTACGCATTTATTCAATAAACACATTTAACATTACTAAAAGTATTATTAAATTATTTATATCACAGATTAAAAATAGGTCTATTATAATGCAGTATAAATTATGGAATCATATCTACATATGAATTTTTATCTTGATGCTAACTTACTGACGGTATCATTTCTATCCATTTTATATAACATGTCGATAAAACAGTACAATGCTATGCTCCACGAATAAGAGTACTTTCACAGTACCACCTAGTTCAGTGCATTAGCCACAAGATGGTACATCAAGTCATACCCATGGAGCCTAGGCTAGGCTCCATGGTCATACCTACCATGGTCATAACTTACCCCTATATAAATTTGATCGGTCACATCTAAAAATCCAAGTAGTCTCCAAAATTAATGGATCTCCAACAAGTTTAAAAATACTCCAATAAAACATCACGTATAATTACCATCAAAACTATTTAACTAAATTCCTCATGAACTTAAACAAATTCGATACAATACATTATAAACACCCTATTTCAGACACGTATAACGTAGAATCTGAATAAATTCACTACCCTTGTAATACTTTTGACGTGATGAAATAGCTTATAGTATCCAACGACCATATACATTTCAAATCGACCGAACCCTTGGAAAATTGACGTAACAATGCTAAACGTTACATACATGAATATGAATTCGCATTCGGCCAAAAGGGGGTGCTTAACTATTTACGGTTTCCGCTGCGTTACCACCCCAAGATCATATCAGTGGTTCTCATTAGTTCATCCCTCCCGCAGTTAACATGAATTAAAGAAAAAGAAAGTTTAAACATAACCTATTAATTCACAGCGATAAGAGAACATAATTCAACGTCCACTTTTACCTCGTTTGGAATAAAGACAAAGGTAGCCATTACGTTACCAATGCATAATTGATCCCCGGCATTTTCATAGCATTTAAAAGTGATTCCGATGGGCGACACTTTCCGCAGCATTGACTTTTAATTTCTCGGTGAACTCGGCTTTATTTAACGATTGTCGTCCCAACCCTGACAACCCCTCTTGCAGTCCTTGTCGCGGAAAGTGCCGCGCCGAGAGAGCTGTCATATTTTGACGTGCGTGAGATGCGGCGGGAGGGTGCGGAGGGACAAAAAGGAAAGCAAAATATATCTATGGCTTGTAGGAGGGAGCGAGAGATTATTTTTCGCAGTAACCATGAGCAGGGGAGAGGTTAATGTCAAAGCTAGAGAATAAGCGATGAAGGGTGGATGTATAATCCAACAAAAGAAAGTCAAAATGATCCTAATGGTTGTAGGACTTTGGGTACCTATAGCGGCAGGGAAAAAAATACATAATAAAATTATAAAATTTATATCAAGTTAATATATTTTCTCTCGTGTTATAATTTTTTTATCTCACGATATATACATGTATATTTATATTAAAATTAATGCTATCTAATCCCAGCAGAGTGAATATTATGTCAAAATCGTTCTCTAAATCATTAGCATAAGTAATTGCTGTGACGAGCGGTGACGGACAGCCCCTAGGGTGCTTTGCAACCCCCGAGTTTCCTCGCTACGTCAAACGGTAGACACAGAAGCTTCGTTCGAGAGCAGCAAACATGTGACAAGCGTTGCAAATTCTCGCCTCGCTTCCACGTTTTCATTGTGAATGCTCCTGTATAGTATATATACTATATACTATATATAATATATATATATAAAATAATATCGCTGTCATAATTGCCATGCTGTATAAAACGGATAATAGAAACACATTGTTGCTTAGTGACAAAGAAGAAATTTTATTTCAGTGAAAATGACAAAATTGTATTAAAAAATTGCTATTGCAATTTTCATAAATTTGTATAATTCGAGTTCGTTCATCACTCTTATATAGGGCTTTTATTTAATAAAGCTAAGGAACAAGGCAATACTCAAATAAATCATTTTAATGATAACTGTCTAATTACAATTCGTCAAAGAGATATTATACTTTTCTTGCAATCGGCCATTCTAATTTTGTCGCTACGTTGTGTACGTGGAATAATGATATGTATATATCAATATGTATATAACAAGTGATATATATATATATATATATATATATATTTTACTCTCATGTATTTCTTACTCCCCGTACACAACGTAGCGACAAAATTAGAATGGTCGATTGTATCGATATATATATATATTGTAACGTAATTTCTAACTTATGACCCGACACCGATAGCAAAACATACAAGAACGAACTATCTTCGAGAACCAACCTACGTTACCTTCGGCCGTCCACGTTACGTTCGTGCATCCGCAAGCTAGGCGGGCGCCAGCCAATTCTTTTTTCACCCCCCGTACACAACGTAGCGACAAAATTAGAATGGTCGATTGTATCGATATATATATATATTGTAACGTAATTTCTAACTTATGACCCGACACCGATAGCAAAACATACAAGAACGAACTATCTTCGAGAACCAACCTACGTTACCTTCGGCCGTCCACGTTACGTTCGTGCATCCGCAAGCTAGGCGGGCGCCAGCCAATTCTTTTTTCACCGGGAACTGACGAGCCGGTATAAACTGGGAGTTGGGGTGGAACAGGCCCAACTCCACCAAGAACGAGAGCTCTGACGGAACCTATCAGACGAGGCGATAGCTTAACGGATCCTGTAGATTTTTGGGGTCGCGTAAAATCAGCAAACGCACCTGGATACATGAACGGGAGCGGACGGGTACGGAAATGCACGGCCGCTCAGGCTGCTAGGTTTGAGGTAGAGAGGGTCGGAGTAAGAGCCGGCAAATAGTGCGAGAGACAGAGACGAGAGACAGAGAGCGACGAACCGAGAACGTATCAGAACGAATCTTAACTATCTATCGAGATCCCTTCACCAATTAATAAATTCGGAGCACTCACCGGAGCTGGTGCAGCTAATCCGTGGAGGCCGAGAACTGTACCCAAAGGACACTCTGGGGAGCACTGCACTAGGGCACAGCACCACACCTCCGGAACACTCACAGGAATTCATAGAATCGCCTGGATGTCGCGAGAACAACGCGAGAACTGTACGA